TGTGCTGAGAGGCAGAGAAAAACAAGTTAAAATAGAAGATAAGAGTGCAGGTGTTATCAAAACTTGGTCCAAGCTGACCAAGCAACAAGGACTCAGGATCTAAACAATGGATCAAGCAAGAAGGCCTGGAAACCTAGCAGAAACAATCAATGTTCAAACATTACTCAAGGCAGGGCTCCTTATGTCCCTGATCTTACAGGAAGAAAGCAGACACATCTTGCTGTAAAGAAATTAAACACAACAGGGGAAGAAAAGTTCCTAGTATTGCTATATTTGTAAGCTTTGTTCATTTGCCATATGACGTAAAGACATTCCACAACCTACAATTTTCACTAAACTACCAGGATCATATTCTGAGAAAAAATGAAGGAATTCTTGAAAGATTATGAGACATTTAATACATCTGTTTATGTTAAAGTACAGTACTCAACAAACCAGTTCAGTAGTATGCAAACTTTACAGTGCATAACACAAAATGCTATCAGGCTCCCTCAAGTAGTTTCTTTCCAATGAAATACAATAATAAAGCAATTTTGACTTTTAAAAATAACTTTCCTTGAAACAAATTGAGACAAATTTCAAGTGAAAAAGAAATTAAGTACTTCATTCACAGATGCACTTTAGCATAAACACATTCTGATTCTTATTCTCAATAAATCCCAACTATATGACTCTCTGTCAATCAACTCAGGAAATGTCAGACAATGTTAAAATGTTCTCTGTCAGTTATAAAAGTGAACAAAACTCAGATTACTGTATATTTTATTAAAGATGCTGAAACATGGCACATCTCAAGGAAGACACAAGGTGCAGAGGAAGTGTCAGTTCTCTTTCATTTTTCAATCAACTGGGTGCATCATTATATGACAGTCATTCCTCAGTCTCTGTGGGGGATTATTCTGAGACCCTCCATAGGCATCAAAATCCATGGATGCTCAAGTCCTTTAAGTAAAATAGCACAGTACTTGCATATAACCTATCCGCATCCTCCTTTATACTTTAAATCATCTTGATTACTTATAATGTCGAATACAATGCAAATGTATGAAACAGTTATGTTGTATTATTTTTATTATTTTTATGATTGCATTGTGATTTTTTGGGTTGTATTGTTATTTTTGTTCTTGTTTTTTCTTTCCAAATATTTTCCACTTCCAGCTGGTTGAATCCAGAGATACAGAACACATGGACACAGAGAGCCGATTACACTTGGTATTTCATGTGTTAAACTACCTAGTTATATAATCTGAGACTTACAAGATACAGAGGCATATTCTCTTTATGCAGAAGCAAATATGTAAATTCTGTTTTTCCTATTTTCAGAATCATAAGAGTCAGCCCAAAGTTTTTCCATCTCAGCTACTCCAAGTAACTCTCCTTGGAGAGTTTGCTCTCTACCCAAAACAAAAAACTTATTTCCAATAAAGGAGTGATGTGACTAGGAAAGAAAAGAGGAACACTCAATCTGCCAAGAAAAAACTAACAAGTAGACAAGTAGGTACATTTGCATATAAACTTGCTTAAAATATTTTTTTAAAAATCACACCAGAATTCAGAAATGTTCTACATCATGGGGTGATCCTCTTAAAAATCATTTCTAAAAGGAAAATATTTATGATTCTCTAGTCATGAACAAGAATTAGCATAGATATAAATGTTTTTAAAATTGAGAATATATAAATTCAGTTGGAAGTTAATTAGTGTTCCTAAGACTACTAGAAGGCAAAATGCTTATTCACTCTAATTCACTCAAGTCCAAGCAAAGATTAAATCTTGCCTTTGGCTAAATTCCACAAGCCCCAAGTCAATTAAATACATTTTAAAAGTGTGGATGAATCCTGTATGAGTAGGCCCAACTAGAGAGCTCAAGAACAGGTGCAACACTGTACTGGGAAGACCAGAGAAAAAAGAGCAAAAACGCACAGAAAAAAAAAAAAAAAAAAGAGGTGTATCAAATTTATAAAGACAAAAATAAAAGAACTTTAGAATAACAATGTATTTTATCTTTGTGGACTCAACATGACCTACATGTCAATTAACTCTATCCTTATATCCCACATTATATCATCTACAAAAGAAGTGAACAAACGTATTATGTTCTCCCATATAAACAAAATAGTTAAACAACAGGTGAAGGGAAAGAGGGAATGGTGTTAGGCAGGTGAATGGTGGCTGGCAAAGGACACCGTGCTGGTATGGGGTGGAGAAGAGATGCTAGCAGAGGGGCTATCGTCATCACCAGACAGCTCCAATTGATAGCCTCACTCTCTAAGTCACCCTGACACTGTCACTAAATCACCAACTTAAAAACTTTATATAAGTTTTCGTAAGATATCTAAAGTAAAACCCCATTACAAAGAATTCCTTGGGATATGTGAATGTATGTGTGATGTATTTTTACCTATTTGCAGAGAATAAGACCAATTTTTCTTATTATCACATGCATGACTCACATATCTAAACATAGCATGCTTCTTATACACTGTATTACCTAAAATAACTATTAATTTAAATCTTTTCATTTCAACCTTTTAACCTCATTTGATAACTGTAGCCACACCTCCTCCACATATCAGTATATCCATTAATTTAAAAAGTGCTCAGAAGTCACTTGATATCAATTTTTAAAAGCCCAAATAAGAATTTCTTTCAAAGACATTTTTTACAGTTAACACTCATCATGTAAGACATTTACTTTAGCATAGCTAAAATAGATTTTTAATTATATAAAAGTTTCAACACATCACCTGCTCCCTCAATTTCCTGCCAACCAATTCCACGCTCATTCTTCCCTATTATAATAGACAGTGACCTTTTCAAAGTCAATCTCTGCAATAATCCCTGCAAAGCCTTAGTATATTATTATGCTATTTTATTTTCAGCTTCTCACTCTCTCCCACCAATTTTCAAATATTGAGGTTTCTCCTTCTTAATTCTATATCCGTCCTCGTCACAAAATTTCCTCACCTTACACTTGATAGTTCAACCAACTCCCACCAAATCTGTCCCCAAAAGGTCAACTATGACCTCTTTGTTGCTATAAATCCAATAGATACATATTTTCAGTCTTCATTTTGCTTGGTATCTCCACAACAAAGATTTCATTTCTGGTGTAGACAGTTTCCTATTCACACCCTCATATCCTGGCCTACCTTAAGTTTTCCTGTTCTTCCTTCAGGTCCTCCTTAGTCTTGACCCCGGAAGGAGAGTTAGATCCGAAAGCTTCCACTGTATGCACAACTTCCTTCTCTCTACAGCCTAATTCTATGGGCGCCTACTTTAATATAAGTCCTTCTTGACAGATTATGTTCTTTATGAAACCAGGGATTATATTGATTACACTGTATGTGGTTTATCACCATACCGACAATTTTAAAGCAAAGTACCTGGCATAAAGACTCTGTAAACTGCCTGAATTACTTTCACCCAATAAACAAGCTGTTACTATATAACAGATTTGTCACTACAAAATGAACTAAACGGATGCTTTGGTTCAAATGGATTTGCTTTTTCAGGACCCAGAATGGCTTGTTAGAAATTTCTAAATACACTCAACATACTAAAACTAATTCTCTATTTACTTAACCTAATAAGTGTAAATGACATCATCAGGTTTCTAATAATGACAGTTAATGACTCTCAAAATGGGCAAAATGAAAGTGTCACTGGTACTACTCAATTTATATCCTAACGGAATAAAAAATGTGTAACTTCAAGCTGGGCATGGTGGAGTTAGAGACCAGCCTGGCTGACATGACAAAACCTCATCTCTACTAAAAATACAAAAATTAGCTGGGCACGGTGGCAGGCACCTGTAATCCCAGTTATTCAGGAGACTGAGGCAGGAGAATCACTTAAACCCAGGAGGCAGAGGTTGCAGTGAGTCAAGATCACACTACTGCACTCCAGCCTGGGTGACAGAGTGAGACTCTATCTTAAAAAAAAAAAAAAAAAAAAAAAAAAGTGTAACTTCAATCTGCACATTTTAAAGAAAAAAAAATACCATAGAGACTTAAACAGCATTTCTGGAAGGAAAATATCTAGCCCTTAGCCTATAACCAGCAAACCCTTATAATATGAGATAATTTTTTTTTAAATTAATTCAAATCTATATTAATGTTTTGCTCTACTATAATGCTTTCAGTTTTCAGGTAGTAGCAATCAACATCTACAACAACAGTGAGTCATGCTCACTGAATGCCAGAATTTCCATACAGGAGAGACAAAGGGGATGCAATCTGGGATGGGTATGAATTTAATTTGATATTGGATTTGTTTGGCAAGCACACTATTTTACTTAGATTGTACATTTATTTGTGATGGCTTTAGAGGAATGTTGGAAATTACACCTAGAGATTAGAGCTTCTCCAAGACTGTCACAAGTAATGCAAATTCCTCATTTTAAGCAAACCAAAACGCTATTAATAAAGTTAGAGATAATAGCAAAATATGCAGTGGCTATTTTTCTATTGTACATTTAATAATAAAAGACATAACACATAGAATACATAATCACTTAACTATTACAAACATGATTATTGTATACATTGAAATTATACTTAAATTTTCCAAAAGACTTTTTATCATGATGAGCCTAACACTTGAACCATCTGGATCTTAAAAACAAGCTGCAATAATATCCTCAATATTTATAAGCTGGGCAAAGTTAAGGAAGAATTCCCAAGAGGTGCATTGGAGACATGAACAGATAATTTCTTCTTGTCTACAACTCTATAAAAATAGAATCCGTTGGATTGGAAAGAATATGAAAAATGAGTTTCAATGAGGTGACAAGAAAAAGCAGGAATGAAAACTATCTGCTCTTTCACACCTTAAAATCTATTATTTATAATTTTATTGTACTGCCCATATATCAATATGAATGTTAAACTAGAACACAGCACTTTATACTAACTTTCAACGTCTATTAACATTTTTACACAACTGCTACATAAAAAGCTGACAAGAGAATCTGCTTTAAACCTTTTACATGACTTTACCTTATACAACTGTAATGTTTAAAAGTGCTGGCAGCTTTCTGACATTCAAGGCACAACTGAATAGCTCCTGGATAATCTTCCTCCTTAAGATAACAACAACAGGAGTCATTAGAATGCAAATATTTTTTTCTTAAAGCTCCTGATAAAAAAACACCTCTGTTCATATTCTAACCAAAAATTGCAGAATCAAAAAATGTTAATTCCTCTTAGAATATCAATGATAGGTAAGTGACAAAATATAAGAGGCAACTAGTTCCAGGCCTAAGATATATACATAGAAGAAATATTTAAAATATTCTATTCCTTCAAAGTAACAGCCCCCTGAAGACCATGACTTATGGATAAATCCTACATTAAATCATTAGCTGCTTCACAGGGAAGGTTTTCTTTAACTGTTAACATATCCTCTTTCAGTAATGCCTATATAAAATGTTTCAAAATAGTATGCATTCTATTTGTAATTGATATTCAACAATTTACCACCAAGAAATCAATAAATAGTTCTAAAGAAATAGATTTAGAAAAAAACAATATACTAATTAATAAACTCAGAGTATTTTTATCACCTAACAGTAATTTAATGCCAAATGAATTTTTCATATGGGTTTCTGAAACCCTAGTTAGCAGTAATAGTTGAGAAGTAATAAAGCAATTATACAGAAAACCACAAAAACTTGTCCCTACGCTCAATTCTAAATTCAACAGATGCAGTTCAAACCACTGGTGATGCTGATAACGACAAAGTACCTACCCCAAGGAGCTCAAGTATTATGAGGACACACACATATTACATTACGCTTTGGAGACCCTTATGACAGAAGTAGACAGAAAATGCTAAGAATGCATCAAAGAAAAAACAGATGGCTCACTCAGAAAAGCAATTAATACACGATACTGAACAAAACTAAAGCATCACACAGTCCTTAAATTACTACTATATGTTAGGTGAAAAAGATGTTAATTTTTATTGCTATTTGGATGTAATACAACCAAACAAGTTAACATTCCAATGTTATCAGAAGACAAATGTTTCCCCAAATACATTTGCTTTTCTAAATAAAGTATATATCATGTCAATAGAAAAAGGCTCCAGAACAAGTATCTTTACATGCCTAAAAATATTCTTTATATCATAAACCAATTTGAGAAAAATACACTTCTGAATTTTGCCTGCTTTAATGTTTCTATATAGTATCAGTAGGACCCTAAATTTCCAAAACTTGTTAACTTACCTCCAGCATTTCACTTAACCGTACATCTGTTCTTTGCTGAAAAAACAAATATCAAAGGTAAAATCTGTTTCAATCACAAAATTCAGTTTTAACTTTTTTAAAATGACCCATATATACCAATGTTTTTATAGTTCTCAGAGATTTCAGAAGTCCAATCAGCAACTGACGTTTCCTTTGATTTGCAAGAAGGCCTAAACTAGCTTGAGTAAAACCTTCCTTTGCAATATTCAAGTGTCTGCAAAAGTGAACAATAAATAATTAAAAGTTTTTTATTATAATAAGAATACTATCCACACAGAACAATTAGGTAAGTAATAAAGCAACGAAATGGATTACTTTTAAAACCAAGGATCTAAACTACTATTTGACAAATGTACTCAATGGCCAGTCTAAACTAGCATTACTCAGAATACCACGAGAAGACTGGTGCCAATTCACAACCTGCTAGTGGTCTGTAACAAAAAATTACAGAAACTGAGAATAGGCACTTACTGCAAAATAGGTACTTACTGCAAAAGCTAACAGAATAATTATTCTTTGTGACTCAAATAATTTAAAAAATTAAGACTGTATTACAGGTCTTTCCTTCTTTATTTCATTTGCCTAGTAATTTGTTTTTATTGCATTTTTTAAAAATCACAGCCTATAATAGATTGGAAATTTTAGAAAGAAAAAAATAGGTCCTTCATGGCAAACAGTTTGTGAAGTACTAGTCTAAATAATACAAAAATAGTAATTTTTTAAAAACCCATAAGTACATTTAGAGATATTTCCCACAAACCCTCTTAGTGTAGTCTTTAGATCATAATATATGTTCGCTTATGGAATGATATTCTAGAAACCACAGCCATAATAAAAAAAAATTATAAATTATAGATTCCATAGTTATTCTTGAAATATTGTCCAGCGTAAAGAACAAAATATCATCAAAAGCAATACCTTCTGCCATTTGTACAGATAACAGCAGCTAACTGAAGACCTGTCTGCAATGAGGTAACTCTTTCAAGTTCCTACGGAAAGATTAGGTACGGGTTACTGTTGGAGGAATTTTATTTTTCTATCTTATTTATATAGTACTCTAACAAAAACTCTAGTCAGATTCAAAGAAAATCTGCTTGAAAAACAAAGTAGCAACAAAAATACCTGAACTTGAAAAATGTTAGTATATTTTTCACAAAATTACTTAAAATGACTACTTGTAACTGATTTTCACAATGACAGATGACAAAATATTTAGTCAGTATTGCTTGTAAGGAAATCTAGACCAACTTGTTGTAGACAGGAATAAACAAATACCAGTGATATATCTGTTTAAATTTCTACCCAAGAGAACTTCACAAGGTAATTAAAGGATATGACAAACATGATTTCTGTTTACTAAGATGCTTTGACAATGAAAGTCTTCATTTGAACATTGGTAGACATTTCAATGGATTTTGAAGGCTCTGATTTTCTGATGAAAACACAGATTCAGTTAGTTCCAATTTTATCATATTTTAAAGCCAGATTGTTATATCACCATTGAGTGGTCAATATTGGTGAATCTATTTGTTTAAATGTTAATGGGAGCAAATTTTCACTGGCTCTTAAGTTTGAAAAACCCGAGATCACTTTAGAATCATATATAAAAACCCTTCGCTGCTTCCGTCTGGTAAATTACCCCAAATGGAAAAGAAAAATATACATACATACGTACATACATACACACACACAAACACACCCAAAGACAGTCATTATGTTGCTACAGAATTATTGACAAAAAATACAATATTTTGACAGTTTCAAGTGTAAATCACTCAAACATTTAAAAATTCTACTACAAAAAACAACAAATATTATCCTACCTTTACGTAAGCAGGCTGTTTTTCAAGGATTAAATCTGCCACTTTTTTAGATACCTATAAGAAGATGTAATCAAACAAAGGAAGCAAAAGAATAAGCTTCATGCTTTCTAGGATATTTTATATTTGAATTTTTAAAAGAATATTCTATAGATCTCCCCAATAACTTCTAGAGCAGATATTGGCATACTATGGCCACACACATTTCCCTGGGTTATGAAATTAGCAAAAGAGGTAATATAATAAAGCACATAGCACAGGTCCTGGTCCTTAACAGAAACTCAATAAATGGTCATTATTATTGTTAATAATATGAGTATCATTATCTGATTTACCTAACATTAACCAAAAAGTGTAACCATCTTTAAGGGAATAGGATTTGATTGAAAAAGATGAAATTGTTAAGCAGATTTTTAATCAAATGAATTTATGGAGACAGTATCTGGGAAAAAGAACTTGCTTATATCCTTTAGATCCTTTATGCTGCCTAAGAAGACAAGCAAGTAGTTTGGTTCTCCACTTCTGAAAAGTTGAAAACATGTTTTTTGGAATGCTATGAAGATATCTAAGGTTGTGTGTATTGTTCCATTAATAATATTAATGTATGCAGGTTAGAATTATAATGATTTTGAACATGAGGCTCTAATTCCACCATTTCAGGGCCCCTGCCAACTTCACTAACAGAGATAGCACATGTAGCATGAAGCAGGACATACAGAAAGTATTTAGGGAATGTTTGCTCCAGAAACACAACTGGCTCCCCTTCCCCAGGCCAACTGAGAACAAAACATTGCGCACCTACTACACTACTGCATTAATCCTTTCACATTTTCTTAATCTGCTTCAAGCATCTTTGAAATTATGTAAATCAATTTTTAGATACATTCATTGTTTTTGTCTAGAAAGAGGAATTCCATTAAGGTTAAGAAAATCAAATTGTAAATGAGTTTTAGACTTCAATTAAGGAAGAAATATCAATGTTATCTTAAACATCATTTTAAGAATTCCAAAGGTTCCACAGGATTGTCTAGTAATAGAGAGTACTGGTTCGTGGCCTGTGAGGAACCAGGCTACACAGCAGGAAGTGAGTGGCAGGTGAGCAAGCGAAGCTTCATCTGTATTTATGGCCGCTCTCCATCACTTGCATTACAGCCTGAGCTCCACCTCCCATCAGATCAGCGGTGCCATTAGATTCTCATAAGAGCACTACCTCCATCCCTACTGTAAACTGCACATGCGAGGAATCTAGGTTGTGTGCTCCTTTTGAGACTCTAACACCTGATGACCTGTCACTGTCTCCCATCAGATGGGACCGTCTAACTGCAGGAAAACAAGCTTAGGGATTCCACTGATTCTACATTATGCTGAGTTGTATAATTATTTCATTATACATTATGATGTAATAATAATAGAAATAAAATACACAATAAATGAAATGCACTCGAATCATTCTGAAACCATCCCCACCCCACCCCTGCCAGTCCATGGAAAAATTGTCTTCCACAAAACTGGTCCCTGGTGCCAAAAGATTTGGCAACCACTGCTCTAGAGCTCAAATCCCTTCTCCTGCCCAAGACTGCCCTACACCAACACTGCTACCTCCAAGCAGACCCTAGCACCCACTGCGACTTCTGAGTGTAATAGAAAAGTATACCTTCCTTTGTTTGCCAGTTGTATTATTAAAAATCATATCTTAAATTCAAACAGATACATTTATTACTACTGGTCCTTTTGTTGAAAAAAAATAAAAGACCACATGCTACCATTAATTAATACCTACAGTAGAGTTTAAATTTCATAAAGTGGGTTTAGCCTAACATGAAGAAATTATAGAATCAGAGAATTTTACAGCATTAAAGAAAATTCTTGCATTTTCTTTATTAGGTTACTTAGTAAAGTAACCTATCACTTTACTGATAAATAAAAGGGAGTCACTGAGGTTAAATGATTTACTCAACATCATAAATAAATAGTGACTACAACTCAGACTATCTTAATCTCAGGGGGACTTTTATTCCGAGAGAATACTCCATTACAGGGCCAGGCATAGTGGCTTGCTGCTGTAATCCCAGTGCTTTGGGAGGCTGAGACAGGAGAATCGCTTAAGCCCGAGTTCGAGAACACCCTGGACAACATAGTGAGATGTCATCTCTACAAAACATTAAAAAAATAGCCAGACTAGTGGCACATGCCTCTAATCCCAACTACTCAGGAGGCCAAGGTGGGAGGATTATTTGAGTCCAAGAGGGATAGGCTGCAGTGAGCCATGATCACGCAACCGCACTCTAGACTGGGCAACAGAGCAAGACCCTGTCTCAAAAAACAAAAAGGAATACTCAGTTACAAAACTATGGATAGGGAAATCATATGTGTATGACAAGGAGCCTAGGAGCCTAAAGGTACTTACTAATCTAAAACAAAGTTCAAAGTTCTTTGATCACATTTAGGATTCCAGAGAGAAAATTCCAAGCTCTAGAAGCAAATCTATCAAGGTAACATAAGGAAAACCATATGCATTAAATTTTTAATATAAATGCATCATTTGAATCAGTCATATTAAATAACAAGATTTGTTTCTATGTTAATTATTAGTTAAAACCATAAATCTGCCAACATTATACCTCTCTGTTGTGTTTCATCTAGAGTTTTGTCAGAAAGAAATGTGTTTTTTTTTTACTTACTGCAGCTTGCTGTTGTTTCAATTTGTCTCTGTACGCCTCTAATTCTTGCAAATTGAGAACAGGTGGAAGCTTCTGCAGAAAAAAAATTCATGAATGAAAAGGAAAAAATAAATTGTTGAATTTGGTTTCATTTACCTGGACTCTTCTGACTAGTGAACTACAAACTCTGCATACAAAACATGTCACATCCCACTGCCCTCCATGCTGCCTGTTCTCCCAACCTCCCTCCTAGGCTCCAACCACAAAAACCTATACATCTTTAGCCCTCTGGTTCCATCCCTCATTCAGCCTTGTTACCTCCACTGCTGCTGCTCTGCCTTCTGAGAAACCCCACTACCACTTGGGACTCCGGACCCTAGGCCAACAGACACTGCTGCCACAGCCTATGTCAGGAAAATGTGAGAAAGTAACTAACCTAACCCCAACTCTACCATCCACAGATATATCTCTATTTGTTTATGACAGAACTCAAAACAGAGTTCTCCTCTGGAATATTACAAACCATAAATACTACTGTGTGACCATTGTTGGACTACATTCTGGATTACCTCAACTTTCAGAGGACAGTATGGGAAACTAACCAAAAAATGCATACCATTGTGTATACAGGGAAACACTCTCAGTCAACTGATTGATGAAACTTCAAACTGAGTTGGGGACTGACTGTGAATAATGCATATAAAGTATATATGCATACGGCATTTGGTTGTATCTAAAACTAAATTTCACTATTCTGGCTTTTGTTAAAGTTCTACAAATTTAAAATGTCAGTATTATAAACACTATGGTATAAGAATTTTTATCATCACTAAACAATTATGTAAATACATATTTCATAATTAAAAGTCTGAGCTTCTCTAAACATAGACAATATAAAATAGGATAGAAACAGCATACTAACACATTAAATGCTAACAATTGAAAATCAAAAATACAGAAATGTTTCCCTGAACGGCTGTATTTAAAGTTACATCTAAAAAATAATAATTTCATCGCCAAACAATGTTGACAGTTGATTTAATCACAATGTGGTAATCACAGACCTATTCTGGTACCAAAAATATATATGTGCCTCAAAAAAGCATCCAAATCTCACAAATCTGATCGCTGAACAAAATACGCCTTAGTTATGTTTTAATGAAATTCTGTTTACCTCCAGCTCATATTTAACAACATCAAATGAATCCGCAGAAAAATATACTTGTTCAATACTATTAATAAGCTCTTGTTCAGCTTGAGGGTCACTTGGCTGTTCTCGAAGTTCCCTGAATTCTTCCTTTAAGAAAAAAAAATCATAATTATAGTAATTGTAGCTGTTAAAATTCTACCTGCATGGAAATAAATGATCATTTGTCTTAACAGTCACATCTACCTGGTACAATTCTGACCAAGGAAACAAACCAACAGAAACCAGAAAAGTTCACAGGAAATTAGGAAATAGCCAACCATTAAGACAAACAACTAGGGAAGAAAACTAGCTAGTTTGAATATTCAGATTTTATCCTCAATTCCTTGCATGTCAAGAAGGTTGAAAACAATGCTAATGTTCAACAAAAGAAAAAAAAGTGACTACCTAAACCTATCATACATACATATCACAGATATATACATTTTACCTTTAGAATATTTAATAACATTCTAAAATCTGTCTTACAACAGATAATAAGGGAAGAACACCTCAACAACTTCTGGGTCACAATCAACTTTAGAGCCCTGAGCAGAAGACATCAACTCTGCTAAAAAAATCTCAGCACTCAACTAAGAAACAGTGGCTCCAGAAAAGGTTCACAAATTTAGTTCTGTAATTCTAAGAAGCTTCCTTCAAAGTGGATTGCTGTTACAATTAATGATCTGATTATGAATCTAAATTTCTGTATACGATAAAATGCTTTCTGTCTAATGATACAGAATGGAGGTTATGTGGATTTGAAGAAGAGCCTAACAAACAAATCCCTAAACCCAATGTCAGCATCCATATCCTATGCAACTTCACTGCACAATCAGATAAAGCTTCAGTTAACTAGTAAATTTTTACAATTCAGATACCCACTCCCCTGCCACACTAGTTAATCAAGACATTATTATAGACACATAACAAGTTAGCCATTTGATTTTTAATTCAAATTAACCTCAAATACATTTATATACACAAAAAGGAAATACTGTTTTAAGTCATTTTACAGTAATTAAAACAACACAAAAATACTAAGGAAATACACAAAAATTATCTGGTCAATTAAAGAACAGTATATTTTTCTTTTTTTTCTTTTTATTTTTTATTAGAGTTCTGGGGTACATGTGCAGAATGCGCAGGTTTGTTACTAGGTATATACGTGCCATGGTGGTTTGCTGTACCCATCAACTCGTCATCTACATTAGGTATTTTTCCTAATGCTATCCCTCCCCTAGCCCCCACCCCTCAATAAGCCCCAGTGTATGATGTTCCCCTCCATGTGTTCTCATTGTTCAACTCCCACTTGTAAGTGAGAACATGCAGTGTTTGGTTTTCTGTTTCATGTGTTAGTTTGCTGTGAATGATGGTTGCCAGCTTCATCCATGTACCTGAAAAGGACATGAACTCATCCTTTTTTATGGCTGCATAGTATTTCATGGTGTATATGTGCCACATTTTCTTTATACAGTCTATACTTGATGTGCATTTGGATTGCTTCCAAGTCTTTGCTATTGTGAATAGCGCCGCAATAAACATACGTGTGCATGTGTCTGTATAGAATGATTTACAATCCTTTGGGTATATACCCAGTAATGGGATTGCTGGGTCAAATGGTATTTCTAGCTCTAGATCCTTGAGGAATTACCACACTGTCTTCCATAATGGTTGAACTAATTTACACTCCCACCAACAGTGTAAAAGCATTCCTATTTCTCCATAACCTCTCTAGCATCTGTTGTTTCCTGACTTTTTAATGATCGCCATCCTAACTGGTGTGAGATGGTATCTCACTGTGGTTTAGATTTGCATTTCTCTAATGACCAGTGATGATGAGCTTTTTTTCATATGTCTGTTGGCTGCATAAATGTTTTCTTTTGAGAAGTGTCTGTTCATATCCTTTGCCCACTTTTTGATGGGGTGGTTTTTTTTCTTTTCTTGTAAATTTCTTTAATTTCTTTGTAGAATCTGGATATTAGCTCTTTGCCAGATGGATAGATTGCAAAAATTTTCTCCCATTCTGTAGGTTGCCTTTTCACTCTGATGATAGTTTCTTTTGCTGTGCAGAAGCTCTTTAGTTTAATCAGATCCCATTTGTCTATTTTGGTTTTTGTTGCCATTGCTTTTGGTGTCTTAATCATGAAGTTCTGCCCAGGCCTATGTCCTGAATGGTATTGCCTAGCTTTTCTTCTAGGGTTTTCATGGTTTTAAGTCTTATGTTTAAGTCTTTAATCCATCTTGGGTTAATTTTTGTATAAGGTGTAAAGAAGGGATCCAGCTTTCTGCATATGGCTGGCCAGTTTTCCCAGCACCATTTATTAAATAGGGAATCCTTTCCCCATTGCTTGTTTTTGTCAGAGATCAAAGAACAGTATATTTTTCAAATAGAGACATTCTAGATTATTTTATTGTGGGGCATATTTTTTATTTGTAAAAAGAGCCCTGCTCAGATATCTTTTAGAGTTTAACTTACATGTTGTATTTGTAAAATTAACTATAAAATTATTCCCTATTAGTACTTTCAAGCTAAAAAAACAGAACAAATCTAAAACTCAAGAAAATAGTTGACTGTTTAAATGTAAATTCCAATAAACTTAAAAGAGAAGGCAAACTCATAAATATCAAACCTGCATAATAAAAAATGCTTGGAAAGGAAAAATCCCTCTTCTGTACTAACTCATAAAATACACTGAGAAAAAAAGGTCAATGACATAGCTATCACTGTCAGCCTGCGATCAGCTACTATGAGTGCAGTAAGAAATCCGGGGTCCTAACAGTGCGAGCTATATTCCCAAAGGGGTTTATCTACAACACATGAATCCGTTTAGCACCCTGGACAGTGGTGCTGCACACAGACTTGGTTAAAACTCACACGTGTGGAAGGGAAGGTTACCAACTAGCCTATCAACAGGCAGCCTCCGTGCATCCAATGGAAATATGAAATGAAAGTGAGACATGAAATGGAAGAGGAGGTCTGAACTTCCTGGCAATCTCTTTCCCTAAAAGTCCACAGACATTTGAAATACCAGCTTCAAATACTGTAAGCTAAGGGAGGGGAGGAAATAAGGCCCAAGTGAGGACATGGCAACACTGCCTCCCTAGGAATTCTGCAGTCTGCAGTAATATGAGCAAATAAATGCAGTTGATATCATACAAGACAAAATATTTGAAGATTACAAAAACTGTTACCATTTTTTTAATCAGAAATGGAGCCAAGCTAGAAATTAAAATAGACTGCAATGATTACTTTCATTTTAAAAGCATAAATGTCAATGACATATAACACCATGCTGAGGTTCTCCATATAGTGCCTAATTGATTAATAAGAAGGTAAAGATACTTGGATTTTTAGCTGCAATTCCATTATTAACCCTCAGCAACTTAGTCTCTTCATGCCCAGTGTTTTTTTTTTTTTTCACCTGTAAAGGGCAAACATGTATTCTTTCTCTCTCTTTGTGTGTGTGTCTCTCTCTGTCTCGGTCTCTCTCAAAATGACAGTGAAAGAAATATCCAAATTTATTAAGAAAGCCAAAGAAAAAACATAATTTATAAGTATCTCACAAGTGTACATTTCAAAAACATGATGACTCTGTAAAAGGAGTACAATCTGTATATGTATGTCAAATGCTATTCTTTCCTGAAGAACTAAGCAATTAGTATCACAGAAAGCATACCACCCCATATAATTTCAAAGAACTGACATGGAACACCTGACACTCTGAAGTGTAAGAAACCTGGACTAAGGAAAGGAATAAAACCTAGAAAATCAGAAAAAGAAATGTAGCATACAAAATAGAATTAAATCTAAAACAAATGCCCCCATTTAACATTATTTGCCTATAAAATATCCTCTCCTTTAAAACAATTTCACAGCTTCTATGTGAAAATATACATCTGAACTGGAACTTATTCAAACCCCCTTCTGACTAGAATCCCGATCACCATGTTCTTTTTAGTCCCACTGAACTAGCAGTCTGTAAAGCTCTGCTTCTACCTAATCATTGTCTAAACGTTTCATCGCTGTTAGGGATGCCTGCTCAATCAGACTGTACACTTCTTGAGAACTGAGATTTCTCTTCGTTCTGCATCATGCTGCTCCACAGTGCCAAGGCACACGGTAGATAGTAATCACTGATCAAACTAAAATTAATTTACAGTTAATTGCCAAAAAATAAATATAAGACAAAAGGAAAGGAAAAGACAATATGTTCTTGTTTCAATAGTCAAAATTTTCCACAAACTCTTAGTAAAACATTTCTTTATTTTAATTAGAGATAACAATATGAACTGATTTAGGAATATTTTATACATGTAAATTAGAAAAATAAACAGAAGCATCCAGATTGCATATTCTTAACACAATTACTCAATAATTTAATAGAAACTGATTTCCTAGGGTGGGAGATGTACAAAAATACACAATTTTTCACCTAAAATAGAACCAATACATAGGTGTGAGGCCAAATTTTACATAAACAAAACAAACAAAAGGTTTCCTATTTAAAAATTACAAGGCAAAATTGGGGAAAATGAATACCAAATGAAACTTCTTATACCATATTTAAACATGTGATTTAAGAAAAAAATTTAGAATAAGCTTAGATATTCAAACTAAGTCTGGGATAAAATATTTCAGCCTTAAAAATGTTTAAAACATTTTTATAATAAATTTTATGTCACATAGTAATTAATAAATACATAGTCACATTAATAGTGATATAAATGCTCTCTAAAACTTGAAAATCCAAAAATAATTTGTTAACAACTACAGGCTACCAAATGTGCTGCCACACAACTTGCTGTCAACGGTAATCAACTAAGCAAAAAGTATATCCGCGTCACCGAGAATTAAAGCTGGAGAAAAAACTACAATTAAAGTTATGAATTGGAATAACAAAGAGGAGAAAACAAAAGCATAAAAGGTAAAAAATGAATAAATCAAATCTCTCTCCCATACTATCATCAGAAACTAACCTGCCTACTTTCAAAGCTCTATAACCTTATCTTTCCCAAAAAAAAAAAAAAAAATCCATTTAACAATTCTTTAAATTCTCACTATGTAAAAATTTCCCATACTAGGTCATACAGGAACACAAATGAGTAAAATATAGCTCTTCCCTCAAACAGTTAAGTAATAGGAAGGATCAGATGAATAAGTAAGAAATGACAAAGCACGGCAGAACATAAGGGTGATGCAAACAGAAGGAAGGCATCAGACGGTGGGTTCACATCTGATGGAAGAGGTGGCATTTGGAAAATATGAGAGAATAGGTAGAATTTCAGATTTAGACATTGGGGGAATAGGGTTACAAATATAAAGCAAAGCAAAAGTAAAAATATTGCATCGGGAAAGTGCACAACAGGTTAAAGCAATAAAGGGGGGCTTCCGCAGGATAGAAAACTGTCACAAGGGAGAGCCTGCATGTACGCCAAGAGACAAATGCAACAACTGAGATTTGTTTAAATTCAATATATTTTTTATATATTAGAACCATATTTTCTTCACTAAAAATAAAACATCTTAACACATATCACTGCCTCAGGTGCTATATCAAAAACAGGCATAAATATTCAATATTTTCTTAATGTAATAAACCAAGCAGAATTCAATGTGTTAGAGGCTGTGTTTTTCCGGCAGTCACAACACGCAATAAGGTTGCATATAATACCACCCAGTCTATTTTTCTATTTTGATCATGTCTGAGATAAAGCTACATGACCATGCACATAAATGTACATCAGAAATGTAACTTTATGAAAAATGAAGAAAAACAATCATATTAGAGATTTAAGTCAACATCTTTGATTTAGCCAAGCTACTTTTCCTCACAATACAACAAAAAAGATTTTATGGGAATTGGGGATTCAGCTCTGTAAAACAATTTGAGCCCTCAAATGTAAGGCATTATAATACATTCCCAGTATGTTTATGGTTTCTAAGGAACTAGACTATAACTTTACCAAGAAATTTTCCACTTAAGAGTTCATCACTCAAGGGATGGTATTCAAGTTTAGGAGGAAAAAAAAGAGAGACTACTAATTTTGTATTTAACCACTACTTTTAAATTATCTAAAATATCACACTAATTAAAACTGCTAATCCAAATTCAGGGCTCTTAATTCTATTCACTTTTTTAAAAAGTTAGTTATGACAGCTTAACAGTTTTCCTTACCATTACTAAATTCAATATTTTCTGCAATTTTGAAAAGTAATTTAACCTAATTTCTAAGCCCACATAACAGCTTGGAATCTCATTATCTTCAATACTAGGTTTTTATTCAAACAAAAATATGAATGCAAATCTTTACTTCATAGGTCAGATTTCAAAACTCCACTAAAAATATATAGAAAAATGAAATGCACACCAACTCCTCTTTCTGTACGTAGCTCACTAGATCACAGTTCATATTATACACCTGATTATATAACTCAGTGGCAGAAGTTAGTGCCTATATAGCTGATTATATAACTCAATGGCAGAATGCAGTGTATGTACATGTGTATGTTGGGAAGGAAAGAGAAATTTTGCAAGCATGATTTGGAGTTTGCCACAGCAAATCCCTTATCAAAGACTTTTTTTTACTGTTTGCATTTCTTCATTCGTCAACAAAAAAAAATCTATTCTGTTATAGGGAAAACAGACGCTATAATCTTACCAAAGTTAACATCACGTTAGGGTTCTAACTGAAAGAAAAAAAAAAAAAGTGTCTAGTCACCAAAATCTAAAACAGAGCTAAAAGCAAGAACAAAACATGAAGTTTTCAATATTCAATCAGTATTACAAAAGTCATAAATCACTGAACAGAAATAAATTTTATCTCTTTCCAAATGAAACAGGATTCAGAACTCATTTCAAGATCACAGATACCCTAAAACCATATGCCACATAAGTTTATAACGAATTGTCAGATGTCTGATTACATGAGGAAACGGCACATTCTCTTAATATCCCACTAGAACAACAATAATAATCCATCAAAGATTCCTAGTTCATCAGTTTCTGTGTGTGTTTTAAATAAACTTATCTTTTAAAGCCTACCCTGTTTTTCTTCAGGCTTTTAGTGCCATCTTGTGGAATACTATTGAAGTTACAATTTAAAAAGAGGTTTTGGGCAAAATGATTTATAGAACATTTTAATAAAAGGTTATTGGATCACATTTTAATCCAGCTTTATAACACAATCAAGTGATTAAGATGATGTATTTTAATGTGTGCCAATGCCTGTCCTTTCTGGGGCTAACACTGAAGAAAAGATACATCATAAATCAAGATATATGGAGAAAAATCCAGTGTGTACATCTTAATTTTGTTTTTCTTTTGTTTTCAAACATCTCATCAGACACTTTCTCTAAAAGATAATAATACTGTCTATTCTGAGAAAAGACAACATCACAGCACCTTCAATCCCAGTGCCTTTTATAGGTTCTTCCACCTTCCAAATCCAATAAAATCATCAATCTCAAATTCTGCTTTTCAAATGTCCTTCCAATGTAACCCTTCTCCATTTCCTATACCTTATGTTCCTTTTTTCTTCTTAATCAGTATCCTTGTCCCCAACCTCTACTCAACAACTCACCCCATAAAACTGTAATATTTCTTTAAAAAATTAATCACCAACTCTAAAAGATCCTGAATATACTTCTACCTATTTCACACCCTCTCCTAGCTGAACTCTATTGTGCCTCTACTCCTCTGCAATTATCTATTTTTGCTTGTCTCCCCCACTCAGGTTGAGTTAGGAACAGTCTTGTATCTCTTTGTATCTTCAATGATTAGTAACTGCCTGGTACCATAAGTGTTTGCCAAATGGACTGTATGAATGAACTTACATGATTGCTATGAAAGAAGGGTTAAGAATCTCAGAGCATCTGAAGCTATGAGAAGCATAATTTCATTAATGGTTCAAGGGAACACAACTAAATATCGTTGGCCATGAGCACCTAAGAAAAACTCTTATATGATTTTGCAGATCCATAGTTACAGCCTCCCTTAGTACCACCTGCAGAAGACACCTGTCCTAAATGATACATAGTCTTTATCACAATCTCTAAATAAAGTCTCCTAGTCATAAACCTCAATACTAATCCTCTCTGATATAGACACCAATATGCAAATCTTCTAACAAAAACTGCTCAAAAAATTCTTTAGAATGTATATTTCTCCTATCATATTTCCCCTACAAAAATTACAATATAGAAACTATAAAACATTCGAGCTACAAGTACTCTAAAAAAGTCATCTAGTTCAATAGCATCTTTTCACAAATGAAGAAACTGAGGCACAAAGCATTAAAATGACTTCCTTTCAACAAGCTGACTGTTTAAGTCAATACTTGAACCTATGTCTCTTGACTGTGATTCAAGCACACTTTCCACGAATTTTGGTAAAACTGTAAACCAAGCTCTGCAGTTAGCATGTGGTTTTAGGATTCTTTTAATGGATTTTAAGAAGTCAAGTCAAATCGGTTTATCTGATTTCACAGAAGTACTAGAAACTCTAGAAAACATTCTGCTCAAATTCCTAGAATGTATACAAGCAGAAATGCTTCAGAGTAGGCGGGTACTCAATAAATACTTGTTGAATGGATGAAGTATAAAATATTTAAACAAATATATTCTCAAATGTTGACTGCAACAGACATTTATTTTGTCACTTCATCCTATATTTTTCTTTCATGAAAAAAAATCAAAGGTAAACCAATCATGTAATAGTAAAGACAGTTGAATCCCATTACTATCTATGAGTTAATTAAATTGAGGACAAGAAAAGTCTTATCATTAAAGAATACTATGAGGAGGCAATGTTTCAGTAAAAATTCATAAAACAATATTAGTATCAATACTCTTTTTCAGGTTCATATTGTGCCACTGTGAAAGTACTATAGAAAGTGTTTACTAATAAAGGCTGGATGTAGATTTATAAGGTTCTGAATACCGGTATTTTTACTTTTTAATCTGGGTTCAACAAATACCCTCAAACACAGTCCTACTAAGTTCTATAACTAAGAACATTTTGGATCTGACTACTATCATATATTATAATAAATACTAGTTTTATTCTTAATTCTTGTAACCAATTAAGTAAAATACATTTCATGTTTAAATGGATAACAAGCTTAGAAAATGCTACCTAATTTCTTATATCTTTACCTCTGCATAAAAATCCCACTAATTTGAAATATAACAGAATCTATTTCGAAGAATGAAATTTTAGGTCATTCTATCTTATCCTACAAAAGTTCTCAGTAAAACTTTCAAACTATTTTTTAGAACAGTTCCTCTATTTCCTATTGCTCCATTGTTAAGATAATATTCTCATCTTGGCCAATGGTTCACAAACCTGGCTCCACACTGGAATTACCAGGGAATCTCTAAATATTACTGACACTTGCCTCCACCCAAAAATGGTAATTTAATTGGAATTGGCCATGGCCTGGGGACTGTTGATTCTAAATGTACAGCAAAGTTTAGGCACCACTGATCTTGGCACTGAGCTATTTAAGCTAAAATTCCTGAAATTTGTCTAAAAGTTTCCCTTCCTCTAGTAAGTTCGGAAAAGAACCTTAAATATTTTCTACTTTTCTATACCATTTTATCCACCCAAATTCCAAATTTCCAGTATACAGATTACTATTTCACTTGCATCTGCTCTTAAAAATGGGGCACAGGATCAGATTGTCTATAAAATGCAGAAATTGTACCAGATAGTTTCTATAGTTTCTTCCCACTTTGAATTTATATAGTTCTAAAATAAATAAATAAATAATACCATCTGGCTTATCAAGTACAGCTAGTGACCTTCAATTCTCCTTCACTACCCTCCTTTTTCTAGCAAGTTGGAGCACATAAAATTTGCCAATACTTGACCATTTTAAACTTAAACAGCCATGATTTATCCTAATATTTTTCTCCTACTTATCCTTTATACTAGAACCTTTTCATGTAACAGAACTCAAACTAACCTATTTCTTTCTTGAAAATGCCACTGAAATATCAATCCTCTGTCCCAACTTAGAAAGACATTATGAAAGGAAAGGAGACCATTCCTGAAGACCAGGGAAATGTTTTTTAAAAGTTGTACTTACACTTATGAGTGAGGCAGACCTATTAAATGAAGTTAATGTTTATAAGTTTTCCATATAAAAATTTATAGTGACTACTTAAATAGCACACATTGTTAAGTTCAAAGAGTACTCCCCTAAGCAAAACTAATGGGTACCTTGCTTTTTAAACCTAGAATATACTGTGAGAATTTTCTATGTAACATATATATATAACTAAATTAAAAACCCAAGCTTCCAAATAATTTCTAGAGTATAATACCATTTTAAAAAGATTGGGGAGGGAGGGTGGAAAAGCTATACTGACTACTTCCTGTAAAATAACTGCCAATTTCAAAGAGTTTGTCTCATCGCCCTGTTTCCTTCACAGTATTCTAATTTGTAATCTTACCCCTGGCTTGAATGTAAGTAAGCTCTCTGACAACAGGGAAGTTTTGGCTTTTGGAGAGAACTCCTGTCTTTTCACTGCTATACTGCTAGTCCCTAAGAAGTATCTCTAGCACATAGAAACTCAATAAATTTGTTGAATATGCATAGGGAAAAGACCAGTAGGCAATGTTAACCTTGACAGTGTTGGTGATTTTTGTGATTTTTTTTTGTTTGTTTAGATACCTTTTTCTGTTTATCATGTTTTCTGTTTAGAGTATACATTAATTTTATATTTAAAGCAAAGGTTATTTTAAAATAATCATTTGAATTAACATTTTCCATTTTGTTAAAATGCTTTTAATCTTAATTTTAAAAGATCTTAAGTAAAGATCTTTTTCAATGACATCAAGAACTAGCAGCAACATTAATTTTAAAGCAATTACATAAAAATAAATCATTAAAATATATGTGTATGATCTAAGTACAAAGTCATATCTAAACTGTGAAAAATACTCAACATTAAAGTTACATCAAGCTATGCTGTATAGGGAATTTCTGAATATGAGTCTTCTTAACTCTTGATGTCAGTACTGACTTCAAACCTTATCCAAAGACTCAGTTTACTGACTGGAGCTTTGCCACTCTCTGGACCCAGCACTCTTATGTTCTCAGAACTACCCAGAAAGAAGGCAGCAGCTCTGTTCACCCTCCATCATTTGTTATGCTATAGGAGAACAAAGAAAAAAACAAACAGGCAGATGAAGCTTGTAGGGATTTCTTAGTGTAAGGTTAAATGTAAGCTTACAGCATCAATACCTTTTTTACTATTAACTGTTTTATTATTTAACTAACTTAGCTTCTTAGTATGTGCTAAAGAGACCAGTGCTTTAGGCTTACTCTTCACCTGAATGATTTATATTTGCTGACCTTGTGATCCCAGACTAGCCACTCTACCCAAGGCCAGTTATCCTAAAAGTAGAGACAGCACTGGTCACTGATGGAGCTGGGGGTTTAGAGTCAATAAGAAGGCTGTGTAATGAGATCACCATAAATTCACTACCAACCACTACTGGGAAAACATCATGGCTCATGGTGGAAACGCAACAGAAAGTTCTTATTAAGACAGTCACGTATTTTTTTAAAGAGGCTCACTCATCAATTTAACATTGATTCTGCAATATGTAATACAATTGAATTCAAGGTATGTTCATAATGCACGATCATCTTTTTCTTAAGTCAAAGAAATAAAGAGAATTATTGTCAATTAGGATTTATAGCTATCTCTTATTTCCCAACCTTTTCATAGTCAATAATTTTTAATAACATTATATAAAACTATATGGAATGCTTTTCTTAAGTTTTTGTCTGAACCATTTCATGCAAAAGAGTTGGTTATAATTTTACTGCATTTGGAGAATATGTTTGGGTCTAACCCAAAATAAAAGCAATACAGTAAGTACAAAATTCACTTTAGCAGGCAAGGCACCTGAAAGAGATGAGAAATCATCCTCCTAAGGAGCTGACACTGAGGTATAAAGAGAGGCCTTAAACTGCTGATCAAGAGAAGCACGCCCTGTGTATTCAAATGCCTGATGCAGAAAACAAACAGTATTTTCACGTGTCCCTCTCAAATTAAAAAAAATACAAAAACAGACATTCAGAAATGCCAACTTAATCTGTGATAGAGCAGCTATTCACATGGGCAGCTCCGAGCAGCAACACTCCAGAAAAACAGCAGGGATTTAACAATACTTAATAATTCTGAGGGGAATCCAGCTAGCTTTCAAATAACCTATATAAAATTTGTAAACTGAGAAATTCGCATGAATATCAGACAATTAAAATCTAAAATTCCTACAATCTAGGAGATAAGTTATACAATTCAGTATAAACACTATGGTTTAGATGTTTATTGAAAAACCTCTGCTCCACAACAAAAATATAATCATGATTTTGGCACAGTGTTAAGAGTATAAAAAGTCAGTAGTCAATTATTTCATTTTATTTCTACAAATTACAGCAGATAAATCAATAAGAGTGTGTGTGTGCGTGTGTCTGGGTGTGTGTGTATACACACATATATAACTGCTTTCAGGCTAAGAATTTAATATAAATAAATTCCAAATTTGTCAAGTTTGCATTTTTTGCTTTGCTATAATGAATCATACATACTGCATCCCAATGTGTAATGAAACAAGCTCTACACCTACTGAACAATAAAAATTTACCTAGCTTATCTTAACAACCATCTGCCTGTGGGAAAGAAAAGCTTCTGTGAATCAATTATCATTATCCAGAGGCAACCATATTTTCTTAAGGAAATAAAAAGTCACGCTCATGCGTGTAGATCAATACCTTTCCAGGGACCCGGAGACTCTCTATGGCACCAAGATCACTGAGGCTTTCTTGAGGGCTTTTCAGACCCTTAAAAAAATAATAAGATAAGGAAAATTTTAATAGTGCTGAAGAATTATACAAGGATAGAATACACCTACTGAAACAGAAATGATCACTTTAAAAATAGAAATTTTCCTGCTTCAAAATATGGAACACACATTCTAAAAGCAATCATCATTTAATACATATAGTACTATAATTAAATCAGAGAATGATGTACTTCTGGTATTTTAAAATAAGAGAGTATTATACAACTTTACAACTAATGGTGGAAGTCTAAGTCACCTATGATTTAAAAACAGCCAAAAGTAAAGAAACTTATATAACAAAAAGCATACTATATAAGCGCTTGTATATACATTAATAATTACTAAATCAATCAGGAAAAAAGTCCAAGCAATAGTATTATGATTTACAGATACAATATACTAACCAACTAAGCTAACATATAAGTAATCCCTTCATTTTACTTGATTATTTCCCACCAATATATCTAATTCATGCTGCATAAATTAAGATTGAAGTCTCATATCTCACTGTCTTCTACCTGTCCTTTAGTTCTTTCGTGCCCTGTACTTTCTATATTCACATCAACTGAGGGATTCTGAAAGCTTTATCTGTACTGGGGAAATTATTAAAATAGAAAGAAATCAGCAATTTGCATTTTCTTTAAAATCCTCTTTTTAAAAATAGACTATTCAAAGCAGACATTTAACGTCCCTGTAATATTAGTTTTTAGGCAAAATTAGCTATTATTAACTTGAGGAGAGATTTATGATACAAATTGTCCTTTAGGTGCCCTATATTGAGGGTCCTTAGTAACCAAAATACATGCTATGCTTATGTTGACTACTTGAGACTTAGAGCAGAGCTTGCTTATCTTTAAACTATAGAGATGTGTATTTTCTCTTCCCTGTTGTAAAATACCACTAGTCATATCTACAAATTTTTATTACAAAGTGCTCTGCCTCAACCCCAAGTCTTTCATTACCCCCAGAATATCTAGCCCACCCACTCTTCTCTCCCCTTCTCCCTCTCTCAGACACACTTACCACTCCAAGAAATGAGAAAGCAATACACCACTTTCAGAATTATCTCCTCCACAAAGTCTTCCTAAATCCCTAAGCTTCAAAGAACACAGTATTTCTCAGTATAACCCTTGGATCATGACCATCAACATCACCCAGGGAACTCGTTAACAGTAAGATTCATAGGCCCTAAAATAAACCTAATGAATAGGTTTCTCTGGATTTGGACCAGGAATGTGCATTTTCCAAAACAATACCTCAGCAAGACATCTTCCAAGACAATACCTCAGCCAAAGTAGTAAAGTTTTAAATTTTAAATGTATCTTTCTCTTCCAAACTTTAAGCCCTAAGGAAAGGGAGAGACAAAGTTCTATTTGCCTCTGGAGCCCAGTGGCTAGCAAAGTTCCAGAAACAGAGTAAACAACAAAGAAATGAGTAAATTATTAGGTAGAAGTCATTGGTCAGGTTTCAATCTCCAACAAATCAGCACATTGTTCCCATGGGAACACGTAATTGATTGCAAAAAAATTGCTAGGAATACTTGCTGGAAAAAGAAAGGCCTAATGAGGTTTAATATGCCTTTCAATGAGTGAAGGAGAAAAAGTATGTTACTAGTCTTGGGCAGTTTGTTCTTCCCTGTCTTGAATTCTTACCAACAGTCATGAGAGAATAGCATCAAAAGTGGTAAAGAAGGCAAGGCTGAGCTACCAAACTATACTTCTATATACATTATATATACACATATGAAAGTAAAACTCCCCAATTTGATTCCAAATCATGACCACCCCTAAAATATATTTTTAAAATGTAATTGACATGTCTTTTAAACAAACATTTTTCAAAGTACACATGCTCCTCGACTTACAAATTGGGTTATGTTCCAATAAACCCATCATACAAGAACATATGGAAATATACAGAAGAAAACAGACACTGAGACTGCCTGAGGGTGGAGGGTGGGGGGAGAGAGACGATCAGGAAAATAACTAATGGGTACTAGGCTTAATACTTGGGTGAAAAAATAATCTGTACAACAAACCCCTGTGACACGAGTTTACCCATGTAACAAACTTGCATAGGTACCCTTGAACTTAAAATAAAAAAATTTTTTAAACGCAGCATAAGTGGAAAATACATTTAATAATCTCAATAAAATCATCATAAACTCAAAAATTCATTAAGTGAAACCATAGTAAATCGGGGACCATCTGTATAGATTTGCTTAACTAATCTAACAGAAATCCCTGAAGAAATATATCATATTTAATTTCTCTTTCCCCAGCGCTACTCTGTAAAGAAACCAATGCAATGTAAATGTGATATATACCAATATCTAGAAAAAGTAGTCACCACGTAACAATTCAATACCAATACATGGCAAATTTCTGCCACATGTACAAAATAAAAGTAATACAAATTGAAAATCCGTGTACATGTTAGGAGGATGTAGAGTGAAGTGATTATTGTAATGGGCTCCGAAGCAAACCACTTGAGTTTGTATCCTGACTTTCTTGCTGCGGTTTTGAACAACTTATCTATCCTTTTTGTGCATTATATTCTACGATCATTCATAGGCTATTATAAGAAGTAAAAGAGGTAATGTATATGAGAAGCCAAAAATACTGTCTCATATATCTCAAGCATTCTGTGATGATTAACCCTAATTCTTAATATTTTATGACAGAAATGTTTTCCTTTTATCAAAACAGAAATGAAGAATTACATAAATGTCTCAAAGCACATCTGACATTCAACTGTACTTTAGATCTTTAACTTTATCAATTTTATAAATTTCTACTAACAAGTGAAGTCATTCTTATTTTATCTTCATCTCTCTAAAGCATGAAGTCATGGTTTTAACTGCAGTTCTCTCCCTTTATTAAGTTAAAACTTTGATGCTAATCATTTACCACTATTTGATTTTCTTTTGTATTTGATTTTTGTGTTGATAATTCCCCAGTTCAGACATATAGAAAATTCATCATAAATTAACACTTACCTCTGCATTTCGTTTACCCAAATCAGATTAACATTTCAGACTACTTCAGTTATGTCTACATTAATCCTCATTTTCCACTTATGAAACCAGCAACTATGTCTTATCCATCCAAAGAAGCATCTGTGATGATTTGTGTTTCCTTCTCTTTCAGCAAAACTCAAGAGTGTTTACACCCAGTCCCTAATTTCTCTCCCCCTATTTTCTCCTGAACCCATTCTCATCAGGCTTTCCTCCCCACAACTTGATGAAAACTGCCGTAGTTGGGGCACCAAGGACCTCTATGCTGCTCAATCCAAAAGCACATTTCTCATTCTCACTCTCACCTTACTTGACCAATCTTCAGCATTTAACACAGCTAATCACTCCTTACTCTTTTCAATTCTTTACTTGGCTTCAAGGCACTCTTCTTGGTTGTTCTCTTTATCCCACATTCATGCAACAAATATTTATTGAGCATCTGCTATATTCCAGGTGCCATTCAGGAAGCTAAAGACTTCTTACTTCACGAGCTACATGTTCTCATTCTGCTTTCCTGGATCCACTGCTTCCCCCTGAATTTTTAACACTGGATTCTCAAAAGCTCCAACCTTAGATTCTTTGTATATCTACACTCATTCCACTGTGATCTTAACCAGTTTATATGCAATCTACATGTTTGTAACTCCCAGAGTTTTAGCTATACCCTGGATTCGCGCCATAAATTCAGATTCATCTGGCCAACTGCCTACTGTATCTCTCCAGTTGAATATTTAAGAGGCTGTCAAATTAACAAGTACAAGAACTATGTCCCTTCCCTCAATCTGTTCCTCCCTCAGTTTTATCCATACGAAGAAATCACAATTACATTCTTCCAATTGCTGGGGCCAAACTATTTTGAGTCATCCTTAATGCTTCTCTTTCCCTCACAGCCCAAACCCCATCTGTCAGGAAATTCTGTCACCTCTACATTTACAGCATATTCACAATCTGACCTCTTTGAACACTTCTACCACTAGGGTAGAAGGCCTACACCCACCCTCTCACCTGGATTACCATAGTAGCCTCATCATTGGTCTCCCTGGTTTTGCTCTTTTCCCCTCTTCAATCTATTCTTAAAACATGGGTCAGAACAGTCTGTCTGAAGTGTTATGTCTGATTATATCATTCCTCTATTTGCCATTTCACTCAGAATGAAAGCCATGATCTTGCTATTACCTATAAGGTACCTATAAGGTACTATATGATCTAGCTTCCTGCCCTCAGTCATCTAACCTTATCCTGACCTCATCTCCCACTACTCTTCTCCTCACTCACTTCACCCACACTGGCCACTTGCAATTTCTCAAACAAGCTCCTGCCTCAGGGCCTCTGCATTTGCCTTTCCTTCCATCAGAAATGCTCCTTCCCAAATATCCACATCATAGAGTTCACTTCCTCACTCCCTTCGGGTCTTTTTATATTACCTTCTCTGCGAGGCCTTCCATGACCATCCTATCTAAAATTATAAGTGACCTCAAATCGCCAACAATTCCCAGGACTTTCTATCCTCTTTTCCTCTACAGTGTTTATCACCATGTCTGCCTTAACACTTGTCTATTTTTTTTACTTACAATAGTGCCTGGCACAAAGTGCTCAATAAACATTTGTTGAATGGACTGAAAGAACAGAGGCCGGCATAATGGAGAAAGATGAAGAACAGATCTCATTTAAATAAAGAGGGCTAACAAAGCCTCCCTTCCTCCCATTATTTTGCAAACAAAGTTCCCAGGACAGCTGAAATGCCCAAAAACTTAAATTTCACAGACCTTAATTTCCATCTCTCCACATTAACTCAATATATATTATTAGCACATTCTACAGGTTCAAAAAAAGAAATACTTCCATGTATACTTATTCGTAATCCTATTAAATTTAACCCAATAACAAACTGTACTAATTCAAACCCTTGATGTAAATAGGAGGCACACTAATTTCATACCTCATGGATTCAGGAACTGTGCATCAGTATCAAATATGTGAAAGTCAAGCCATAACATACATAATTAGGGTAACTTTAAATATGTGTGCAAAACTGCTAATTTTACCTCACTTTGTACACAGTATGGTTCCAGCTTTTTGTATGTGTTCTTTAATGTATTTTTTTCCATTCCAATTAAACACAGGTTTGACGTGCTGAAATTCAATAAACAACTAAGGCTTAAGTGTTACCATTTTCAGCAAATTGCATTACATTTAGGAGACATACACTTATCACTCCTATCTGAAATTTTTTTCTCTCCTCAGTTTTACAAAATGAGGTCAAAAAACCTAAACCAACCACAGCTACCATACAATTACGACAATGTTAACTACATTGAACTGTATAGCAGACAACAAACTTGAGAGAGCATCAAACTTAGCTGGTACACAAAAGTCCAAATTCAGCCTCCCAAAGGCAGTTCAGAGGTATTAGTGGTATAATATACAAAAGTATATATTGATTTAAAAATCAAACAGGTACCAAAGTCAGCATGAACTTATCTGTTGCTTGAATTACTGCAACAGCCTGCTTCCAGTTTTCCTGCTTTCCCACCATCAATGTAGCCAATGTAACTAACGGTCTCCATGTTCAAGCACTTCCTTGATAATGCCCAGGAACTCTGTTAACACCTTAATCTCTTTAACTTCATTGTATCATATAAATACCACTATCAGGCTAACTCCATAAGGTACACATTATTCCTATTTTAAAGATGTAAGGTACACATTATTCCTATTTTAAAGATGTGGAAACAGATGCTTAAAAACGTTTTGTAACTTGCCGAAAGTCACACAGCTACCACAGGCTACAGCAGGACCCAAACTCACTGTCAAGTAAGACGTAGCAGGATGCATAATACCAGTACTCCACACGTGAGGAACTGATAAATGTTACTAGCCACTTATTTAAATATTTTTATGATTCACAGAACATTTTGATATATATTTTCATACCATTAACAAAATAATCTGACATTACTAAAATAATCATGTAAGGGTCATTTGTGTATTATGCAAGAGAAATATACAATTTGTAAAAGCCATGTTGATTTAAAACTCTAATCTTAATTATCTTTTATATTAAATATATTAAAATAATAAAATGACCAATTCTAGTGAAATATTAAAGTTGAAGTAAATAAAGGTAGCTAAAATAAAGTCATAATCAATAAGTACATAAAAGAAAATTTCTGCACTTCTTAAACGAAGCTGAGGCATTATTACAAGGTCCCTAACATTTATGAGACAGATTACAAAATAGCCAAAGCTCTTATTCATGAATTTTCATTCTGGGAAAAAAAGAAAAGATCAGTATTTTGCCATGACAAAAATAAATTTTTTAAAGTAGAATTTCACAAAGAGTTTTCACATATATTAGCTTATTGATGACCCTCATAACAGAACTGTGAAATAAAATGAACAAAAATAATTATTTTCACATCCAGACAAGTAAGCTACAAAGTTTGGGGACTTGCCCAAAATCCAAAAGCTACAAATGCTGTCTTCAAATCATCCGTTTCCACTCTTTCCAGGTCACCTCTACTGCACAGACCACACCACCCTACCCAGGCTATCAGCTCACATATGACAGACAACCTGGATGCGGAAGACCTTGCAAGGAAGCTGGGGCTATTCTGGAAAGATGGCAAAAAGAGGAGGAAGGGAGACAAAGATATCCTGATTCCTTCAATGATTTCTTTTTATGCGAATGTTTCTGGGAGGCGGGTACCTGCTGGAGCAGGGCTCCAATCCAGGCGGCCCAGGTGAGTTTTCCAGGGTGTGCCCCGGCTTCCCAGTCCCCCTGACACCTGCCACCACCCATAACTTAGGTCTCCGCCCGCCACTGGTTAGGGACAGAACATCTCGGCTCCTCTCACTTCCGAGATGAAGGAAGCCTTTGCTTCAGCCACCGCGACTTACCTGTCGGGTCATGAGAGATTTAATTTTTTGCATGTCTCAGTCCTGAGGAGGGTACCCTGCCTCGAATAGCTAACAAATCACACCGAGCCACTACACAGCTGGCCCTGACACAGGGAAGCCATAGTGGATGGTCACGTGGAGGCGCCGACCCAGGTCATCCTGTCTTGCCCTGGGTATGCTGGGAACTGTAGTCTTCTGGCCGCCGGCGGTAGTAACAATGAACTAAAGCGGCCAGTCCAGGGACTACATCTCCCAGCAAACAAAGGAGCGGGTGCGCCAGTTAAGCGGGTAAATCTTACTGCTCAGAGCGCGGTCTTAAGGAAAGTGCTTGCACTAGGTGGTAGCTGCTCTTTGGGGAGAGGGAAACCTAAGTCATAGGTGACTAGGAGTTGAGCGAAAGATCAAACTCAGAGGAGACAATATATAAGCCAGACTGACGCGATGCCCCCTAGGAGTGTGAGGGAGGAAACCTCACCTGGTATAGAGGGGCGGGGTGAGGGAACGAGAGACTGACGCAAAGGAGAAGGAACTCAAGAAAGGGCTGTCACTGAGAGGTGACCTGAGAACTCGAGACTACCCCGGGCGCGCTGGGTTTGGCCTGAGGAAAGGTGTGCTCTAGATTGCCCAATGGGCGGCCCGCCAGGGTTAGGGCTGTTCTACCTCAGTCTTGGCATCCCCTGCAAAAGCTCTAAAATCGAAGGATTTTGACGCCCGCCTATTATTTTACCTCTGTACTCTAAGGCAAGTGATGACGGGAAATACGACAACAATAATGAGTATACGTGTCACTTTAAAGTCCTCTTTTCAACTTTTGGCAGTTTAGTTAAATTGGGGAAAGGAACAGGGGTATCTTTGGGGACACAGTTTTAAAAGGACTTTACAATTATGAGAATATTAGAAGAAGAAGAAAAAGAAAGCGGCCCTAAAGCTAACAACAATAGCTAACACTTATCGAAAGCTGAGTACCTGTCAGAAACTGCTAATAGCTTTAAATATATGGCTTTATTTATCCACACAAGAATCCTGTGGGTTTCCATTTTAAAGATGACGAAGCAGGTATGGCGAAATTAAGGAACTTGCCTAGGATTACTAAAGATGTGCAAGCAGAAACTGAAGGATTGGTCATCAGGTGTGTTAAGATTTTCATATATTGTGCTGAAGAAAGTTCTAAAGCATGGCACCAATTTTTTTAAGTTTATTTTATTGTAATGCTAACTTTTTAAAAGTTAACATAAACTTTTATAAACCTATAATTTCAAAAATATTTCTTAGAATAAAAAAAATTAGTATGTCAACCTAATAAAAAATACTGGGTAAACAATAGTATGGGTGGTAGTCAGATATGGCAAAACTAATAAAGGTGATTTGCAAATGACCGAAGTTTGGGGGACACTAACAGAGGTTATTTCTGATTCTGAAATTCTATTTTCTCACCCCTTAGAGCCTCGTTTTATTAATTTTTACAAATGAGGTTGCAATATTTTATATAGGGCTTTGTAAAGATAAATGAGATGATGTAGGTGAATGAAATGTATAAATTGTAAAGCACTATACAATTATGAGGTATAGTTTGATTCTGCCCGGTTCTCCACTCCAACAGAAACACCTTGTGCATTCTTTTTTTTTTTTTTCTTTTTCTTTTTATTGTTATTATTATACTTTAAGTTCTAGGGTACATGTGCATAACGTGCAGGTTTGTTACATATGTATACTTGTGCCATGTTGCTGTGCTGCACCCATCAACTCGTCAGCACCCATCAACTCATCATTTACATCAGGTATAACTCCCAATGCAATCCCTCCCTCCTCCCCCCTCCCCATGATAGGCCCCACCTTGTGCATTCTTGCATCACTGCATTCAGCAATTCCTTTGAAATTATGTTTGCCTATATGCTTCTCTGACTTTGTTATTTCTAACCCCTTAAAGAAATTCTGGTCACATTTAGGGCAAGTCTAGTTTAGTTTATTCTTTACCTTCTCTAATCTTAGTTGTCAGACTGTTATTTGTATGTGAAAATCTTCAATATTTAGAAGTCCCTGAAAGCATCAAAAGAAACAAAAACTGCCAGCCATATTAGCATATAAAAATAAAACCCAAGTCAATAAACATTTCTTGATTATTGAGCTCAAGGCAACACTATAGTAAGCACTTTAGATTGATAATGTATGATTGTGGTCACAAGGAGTTCACAATTTAGTTTAAAAGCGTATCTGAGGGGTGATCCGAGTTCAGTAGTTCTCAAACCTGACTGTTCAGATTCACCTGAGGTGTGTGCTGTTATTATTGTTATTTTATTTGGGGATGTTTGTGTGTTTAAAATCTTCTGTGATTCTTAAAAGCAGTCCAGCTCTAGCATGTCAAATCCATGCTGTAAAGATGAGAAAACGTATCTATATAAGGGTTCAAGGTCACATATTTCATGAGAGCTTGATCTAGGACTAGAACCCAGATTCAACCCCAGAATTTTCTCCCTCACACACTCAGATACACAAAGTTAAAGATGATCCCCCAAAAAAGTTTTTTTTTAATCTAATGTGTGTATTTCTATTGGCCAAATTCAGAAAAAATGAGTGTTATCCCTATCTATTTGACACCGAAAAAGCAAGAAAGTATTAAAACTTTGTTTTACTCCAAAACTCTACATTTTATTTTATTTCCTATAAACTGAAGAAATGGATAAAGATGGTTACAGTCTTCTAAAAGTTTGAAGGCTGTAACTATAATATTGAAAGTTTGTAAAGTAAGTCAGCACTGGTGGCTAAGTAAACTATATTTCCAAATTCAGCATACCTTAACACTATATGAAATAATTGAACCTTACATTATTCATTTCTACCTGTCTACGCTCAAAAAACAAAAAACTTGGCATCCTAAAAAACACTTTGTAAAAGGTTTGGCATGCTATTTCCTTTCCAATTTTCAAAAAGGTATTTATTTGTAAGATTTATTCAGGATTTTCATATTTACCTGAGAGCTGTTGTTAGTGATAGGCGAGTGCAAAGTAATGGAAAGTTTAGATGGTCTGCCAACAAATCTTGAGGGAAGGTTTGCTGGATACCAATTCCTTGGTAGAGAAGTGCTAACCCCATTTTTGCATACTGGAACATCAGAGCCGAGAGTTAAGTAAATTGATCTGATTCAGGGCAATAGGATTAGTAGTAAAGTAGGATAAGGGCATATTTCTAATGGCCCAAACAGGAGGAATATCTGGAAGCTTAAATAAAAGCTGAGATCCTGGTTTGATTAGAAAGATAAAGTTACTTACCACTGCACAAATACCAAAGCAGTGAAGAGATGCAGCCCCTCCAAGATGATATGACTACATTTCTTGAGCAGGCCGTAACAGAAAACAGATCACTTGTCAAAGGTAAAGTAGTGACCTAAAGAGGTGCCCAGGAAGAAAGACAGTACTGCATAGTATTTAGCAGCCATATAAGATAGATAAAGGCTTCCATGAGGTAGCTTTGTGGACTTTACAGAATTGAACACTAGCACAGGCATAGGCATATGTGATAGCCTCCTCTGGCAGCTAACTCTCCCTGTAAACTGGAGAGAATCTACTAATTACAACAATAAGAAACATTTTCTCTCCCCATTTCTTATTCCCCACTGTTCTACATCTACATTGACCTTGGCATTTCACCACCTCTCCTTCTTAATTGTTTCTGCCACTGCAAAACATGCACATGCTTGCTACTTGTTATTAAAAATGTGGATGTTTGAAATTTATGCAGCAGACATTTACTGTATGAAGTATTACCAGTCTACAATTTAAATAAACTAGACTGTAAACTGTGTAGTGTGATTTGAGAGGTAATAAAAAGCCCTGCCTCCAACACACACACACACACACACACACCCCCACACACACACCTGCACAGGTGTATATGTGTCCATATCCCATTGCAAATGCATGTGTGCGTGCACACACAAACACACACACACGCACACTCTATCCCAGTGGCTCCTTGCATTGCTTGCAGTTTAATCACCGTGAATATAGATTGCTTTAGGTTAATCAGCCTTCTCATTTTAAATGCAAATATAACTAAGATTGGTAAACAGTAACACTACAAGAACTTTTTTCCTGACTGGAATGATACAGCAGAACTTCCCAGTGGGTTACATGTGTGCTGTGAGATATGGATGGTAGGAAAATCTTATAATTATAAAACACTTCAAACTATTTTTAAGACTCATGTAAAAATTAACAACAGTTGAAGTTAAGCTTGAGCACTCTTTTTCTCACTTCCTGTATAAACATGTTGAAATCAGAAGCGACTCCAGCAGGTATGAGTTTATATCTACAGTTTACCACTAGAGGGCGCTTTGTCATGATTATCCCAGTAGCCCTTTCCCTAGATGTGCCGTATATTTCAATGTGTGCCATGAAATAAAAAGATTACAAGTAAGCTTCATATTGGCATTTATTTGTTAATGTAGCATCTACTATCACCTTATGTCATGAAAGAGAGAATATTTTCAAATACAACAAAGAAAATCTCAGAATAAAAAACTCCTTTATAATGAGTATGTTTAACACTAAGGAAAAAACACAGTACCTTGTCTTTATTTCTGTTTTTGCCAAGGACCCAACAAACTTTGTTATAATCCAGCACTAGATTTAAAAACACTGGAAAGAGCTAATTTAATAAAGGCAATTGGAGATTAATATCAATCTAAAAGATGTTGGGGGAGCCTATGTGATATCTGTAGAACTTCCCTATTACTTTCCAGATTGTATTTTGTGCAATCCAATATTCAAATTTATTTGTATATCTTACGCATCAACTGAGAATCATAAGACAGGGACCAAGGAGCACTTAGAGTTTTGTTTTCTGGAGGAGCAACTTAACAAAAATACTAGTTAAGCATTATGCTACGTGCCCAAGATCCATGAATGAATAAGATTATTCTCTGTATTCTAGAGCTCAGAGGGAAAATAAACATCCAATAAAATAAATTAAGATTAAGGAGATAAGTGCTGCAATAGATGTATGTACCAGATTTAGAGATAGCACAGAGCAAGTTGTGGCACTGTTGTTATTTTGCAGGGAGGTGGTGGAAGTGTGAGGAGCTCTTGCCATTTTTCTGAAGCATGGAGGGATCTGAAAGTGACTGATCTCTGAAGAGGACTTAGTTTTCCCAATAGTCACTTAT